GGGAGGTGGTGGAGGAGACGTCTCTTGAGAACAAGAAGAGCTGCACAGTTTGTTTTTGCACTACTGCCGCTGTAGGAGCAGACCTGAGGTCCACTCGGCTAGAGTTGGTGGACTACACTGATGAAGAGGACAAGACATCAGAAGACATCAAAATTGATGTTCCATCTCTGTCTTTCACCAGCTCGATTCCAGAAGATGATCAGGTCACTTGGTTCATATGCCTACGCCCATGGCTGAAGCCACAGCCACAAGTCTGATATTTTAACATTTTAATTTGTCAGACAATTATTGCCAATTGTATGCATCAAAATGTTTGTCAAAGCTGCAGATTATCAGTTTGAACCTCTTTCAAAATACTGTATGTATACTGAATATTGTAAAATTTATATTATCTGTCAACATCATAATAAGGTTTGATTGTAAAACAATTACTTACTACAGGATTACTAGCAAAACTCTTCACATTTTCATTTTTCCTTACATGTTACGTGGAACTGGTTTTCAATAACCAGAACCTCATTAATACAGCACAAGTTCCTGGTGCAAAAACAGACATTTTCCAAGTGAGCCTCTGTGTTGTCTATAAAACAACATGAGATGTGACCAGGAGATGTCACACTGGAAGTGCAAGTTTTATTAGTCTTGGTTTGACTTTACACACATACTGCCCACTGCAGCTGGTGGGTGCAAATCAAAGTTACACAACCTTCCCAAACTAATTAATTCCTGCGGTTTGACCATTTCGTTCTCACTTGTAGCTCTATCATTACCTCTGGTACACATAAATCAAGTGAACTTACATAAAGCAGCAACACACACAAATTGGTGAAGCAGAACGGGCTTCGGTATAACAACAAAGCTAACAGTAGCTGAGCTAATATTATGTTTTGAGGACACCAAAGCAAAGAAGAGTTTCCGCTTCTTCTGCATGCATTTACACTGACATTCCAATCAGTGAAACCAATTTAAAAGTATACAAGTTCTGTCAAGTGGAACAGAGACGCTGTAAAGGATTCATGAGGAGCCCTCCTTGTTCTCTCTCCTTCTTAACCCACACCCTTACCCTATTATTTCTCCCCTTTGCTTCCCCCCTGCCCATTTTCCCACCCTTTCTCTCCTTGACCAAGGCACTGGCTGAGATATGGAGTTGGTCCATGGGTGCTGCACGGTGAAAGCCAATTCCTCATTGCAATGAATTAATTATAATTATACACACCAAGACAAAATCTATTTCTGCCCTCAGATAAAACACAACTTGCAAGATTTAGATATTTTTTGAAAACGCCAAGCAGCTGTTGTTTCTGGCTACCTGGTTGAAGATGCAGAAGAATTTGAGGTATTGTGAGGGACCAAGCTGGCAGACATAAAGAGTCAAAGGTGAATAAAAGAAAAACAACAATCAATTTACAAAATATACAATAAAGTTCTCGGCCTGTAAAAGAGGTCGATAAACAGAACTTAACTCTACATTAACTTAACATGAACTGAACAGACTAAACTGACCTTACAAATTGAGACATGAGACATGGGGGGAACTTATAGAGTGGCTGATCAGGCCATTCTGACACACAGGGGGATTGACTAATAACATTTAAACAACCTACAATAACCACAAAACATGTCAAGATAAAGCAACACTATAGTAACTTAGGAAATATAATCAAAGTGTAATATCAAAAGCACAACTGTCAAAGAAGACTAAGACTGGATAAAAAGTCAATTTATGACAGCGTCTGGCAGACAACCACAAGACTGACACATGTACAAAGGTGACAGGACAGATTTCTTTGGATTCGAACATTGTTGGAAACATTTGGGTTAATGTTAGTACACGACCTTATAAAATATATAACGTAAGTATAGTGTTCATAGACATTTTAATTAAGAAATATTAAATATTATCATCATCAATCATTTTCATGCTACACTGACTTGTAATAGGGTGAATGGTGCCTCTGTCACTCTGCAATCTATATGCCTGTTCTTGCACTATAACTTTGGTCTGCTGGGTCAGGACAAGTGCGTAACGTGTTACGGCACTAAGTCACACACCACCAGTCACTGATTTTGATGAAAATTAAAAATTGATGAACTAATTTATGATTTTCTCACTGATGTCCTCTGGCTGCTCCGCCTCAACACTCATTCAGAGTTTGCTGATGGACAGTAGCTGTGCCAGGACTGAGCTGGGTGCAGTAGCTTGTAAGGAAAAGTAGAGAGTTCGCTGGACAAGATTAATTCTCAGATTGCCTTGTAGTGTTGGCGAGAGCTTTGTGAAATGAGAGAATGCAAGACAGACGCCGAGCTGGCCTTCTTGCTG